TCTCCAGTGTGAATTTTCTCATGTACTTGCAGGTAATGGTATTGTGTGAAGGCCTTACCACATTGTTTACACGCATAAGGTTCCTCTCCAGTATGAGTTTTTTCATGTCTGTGACGATCACTATTAGATCTAAATGCTTTACCACATAGTTTACATGCATATGGTTTCTCTCCAGCATGAATTTTTTTCATGTAACTGAAGAGATCTGTGCCATCTAAAGGCTTTACCACATTGTTTACATTCATATGGTTTTTCTCCAGTGTGAATTTTTTCATGAACTGGCAGGTAACCGTATCGTGTGAAGGCCTTACCACATTGTTTACATGCATAGGGTTTCTCTCCAGTGTGTGTTTTTGCATGTAACTGAAGATAACTGTGCCATCTAAAGGCTTTACCACATTCTTTACATGCATAGGGTTTCTCTCCAGTGTGTGTTTTTTCATGTAACTGAAGATAACTGTGCCATCTAAAGGCTTTACCACATTGTTTACATGCATAGGGTTTCTCTCCAGTATGAATTTTTTCATGTAACTGAAGATAACTGTGCCATCTAAACGCTTTACCACATTGTTTACATTCATGTGGTGTTTCTCCAGTGTGAATTTTCTGATGTACTTGCAGGTAACTGTATTGTGTGAAGGCTTTACCACATTCTTTACATGCATAGGGTTTCTCTCCAGTGTGTGTTTTTTCATGTCTTTGAAGATAACTACAGCATCTAAAGACTTTACCACATTGTCGACATTCATAGGGTTTTTCTCTAGTATGAATTTTTTCATGTAACTGAAGAGATCTGTGACATCTAAAGGATTTACCACATTCTTTACATTCATAGGGTTTCTCTCCAGTGTGTGTTTTTTCATGTCTTTGAAGATTGCTGTGATCTGTAAAGGCCTTCGCACATTGTTTACATTCATAGGATTTTTCTCCAGTATAAGTTTTTTCATATAACTGTAAGGAACTAGTATATGTAAACTGAAGATAACTGTGCGATCTAAAGGCTTTACCACATTGTTTACATGCATAGGGTTTCTCTCCAGTATGCGTTTTTTCATGTCTTTGAAGATGACTATTACATCTAAAGGCTTTACCACATTCTTTACATGCATAGGGTTTCTCTCCAGTGTGTGTTTTTTCATGTCTTTGAAGATGACTATTAGACTTAAAGGATTTACCACATTGTTTACATTTATATAGTTTTTCTCCAGTATGAGTTTGTTCATGAACTTGCAGGTGACTGTAATGTCTACAGGCCTTACCACATTGTTTACATGGATATGGTTTCTCTCCAGTATGAATTTTTTCA